TGGAATAGGCCTCATCTAGACAGCTGCCTCCTAGGGACACTGTATCCCCCAAGCCCTGTTCCCATTCCTTGGAGACAGGTGGACAGTGAGCCTGTGGATGCTTGTGCTGAGGGCCCAGGTCAGCAGTGATTCCTGCCCTTGCATTTTCTCACAGTTGTGAAGGAGAAAACTCTCCCAGAGCATAAGGATCATCCACCCCAGTGCAGTGCTGTGCAAACCTGAAAGCCTCCTAGACTGGAGTCATGGTCCAGGTCTCCTGGGAGGGTGATCATGGAGTGTTTCTTTGAACAGGACCAGGTGGGATGATGTCCGGCTGGCAGGGACCTTACCAGCCCCTTGATCCTTACACATCTGCTCCCTTATCTCCAGCCCTTTCTGTGTTTATCACTTTAAAATGATCTGCTCACTTATTGCAGACCTAGGTTTCCTTAAATGTGAAATATATTTATTCAGAGGTGAGCAAGGTAAAAAAAAGTTTTTTTGGTTCTTTGTTTTTAATCTTTTCTATTTGATCATTGTTTTTATTGGAAATGTTTTAGGGCTTTAAGAAAAAAAATAGGCTATGTTTTTTTTTTTGTTTATATCTTTTGTGGTGCTGAGTATAAAACCCAGGGCAGTGCTTCCCAGATTTTCTCAAATTGCACCCCCCTTTTTTTTCTTTCCACTTGTATTACTATATTAGTTATACATAATATTAGAGTTTGTTTTATTTATGTATCTTTTTGCTGTCAAGAATTGAACTCAGTGGCATTTTACCGCTGAGCCACATCCCCAGCTCTTTTTATTTATTTATTTTTATTTTTAGACTGTCTCTAACTTGTTTAGGGCCTTGCTATATTGCTGAAGCTGGCCTCCCCTGCCTCCAGCTCATGGGTTGCTAGTATTACAGGTGTGTACCTCCTTGCCTGGCTAATGTTGGGTTTTTATTTTTTATATAGTATGCAAGCATAGGGTGTAAGTTGCTCTACTTCAGTCCCCAGTAACTCCCTTTTCTCTCTCCTACTCTCTTTCTGTTTCCTTACTGCTACTCTACTAGACTTCCTTCTGTTTATCTACAGTTTTCTTTTTTAATTAATGCTTTATAGATATACATAATGGTGAAATTCATTATGATATTTTATGATATGATATTTTATGATTCATCTATGCACATAGCATAATTTGTCCAACTTCATTCCAGTGTTCTCTCTTTTCTTTTCCTTCCTCCCGAATTCTCAATCTCCGTCCTCTTCTGTACTGATCTCTGTTCTGTTTTCATGGGATCCTGCCTACCCCACTTTTTATCCTGATTTTCCTCTAGCTTCTACATATGGGAAAGAACACATTCAGCATCTGAAGTCTGGCTCTTACTTATTTCACTTAGCATGTTGTCTTCTAGTTCTACCCATTTTCATCCTGATGACATACTTTCATTCTTTATGACTGAGCAAAATTCCACTGTGTATGTGTACCTCATTTTCTTTATTCTTTTTTCTCTTGGTGACGTCCTGGGCTGGCCTTGGATACGGGGAACTGTGGTGTGACTTTATCACTGTAGCATGTTGATGTTGCACAGGGCGTTCAGGCTGCTCCCTGCAGAGTGGTGCTGAGTCCCAGAGTTTGCAGTAAGGACTGAGGTGCATCATGAAGTTATGTGAAATTTGAGGCTATTCCAGGGTCACCTTTGTTCTGCTTCTTTTTCTGTGTTTCTGTGTGGAGTAGCTCCACTGCTATTTGGCTGACCTTCTGTTCCCTGGAGGTGTTGTCATTTCTCATCTACGATGTGTTACAGGTACCATTAGTGCCACTTTGTGACTGTTGACTTAGAGCAGGTTTTGTACTAATTTCATTGCTAGTCAAAATGCTCATTTTCAAAGTCCTGTGGTATTTGGGGTCCCTTGTAATGTTGAATGATGTTTTGCATTTCTATAAAGGAATCATCACCCAGGATTCTGATGGGTTTAAATATAATTGGTAGATTCTTTGGGAGTATTACCACCTTAATAATGTTAAACCTTTGTTCCATGAGCATGAAATAGTTTCTCATTTATTTGGATCTTGAGCTTCTTCCAATAAGTGTTACAGTTTAGAAAATAAGTTTTATAGTTTCTATTGTGTATGTATGTAGCATATATTATTATTATATTTTTTATTCTTCTATATTTGTTCTTGGAGTGTCATTATAAATGAATTTTTAAGAATTGCATTTCAGAATTTTATAAGTGCAAAGCTGATTTTTGATTATTAATTGATTTTTATTGAGTTTTGTTTACTAATATTTTCACCCCTGACCTTGGGAACACATCTTCCTCTTGGGTGCTTCCAGGCTTTGAAAATCATGAGTGCTGGTGCTCTGAACTTTGCAGGGCAGGGTTTTGTGTGGACCTACGTTGTGAACTCATTTGGGTTACCTCAACTTTGCAAAATGGCTTGAGGTCCAGGAGCCACCGCTCTGACACATGAGATAGGGTTGATCACTTCAGCCTGTGACAGTTGAGTGGCTGTGGGCCTGTGAGGAGGTTTGTGTGAGGCCTCTGTGTGCTAAAACCCTGGGACTTCTCAGGTATTGATCTCCCCGCATGTCGCAGGCTTTCTGGTAGGTTCAGCAGTGAAGAAACCCTGTCGGATGTCCTTATCCACTTGTAGTAGAGACTGTAGAGAGCAGGAAGCCAGAAATACAAGGCAAATGTGTTACCTATTCCTACCTCTATCTTTGTGGTGGAGTTCTTGATTTTGCCTCAGTGTCTGGTGTTGTGAGAGTTGGCCCTGAGGTCTGGAATGGTGTGACTTTGTTCCTGGCTTCCCTGGGAGCCCCCCTCTTGGTATGATTTCTAGAAATGGTGAGAGCATGGAGACCTGGTTTTGTTCTTCAGTGTAGCCTCACTTTTTGTAGATCCCCATGGCTTTTTAGGGTGTTTTATTCATTTCCAGGTATGTGCATGTTAATGTCACAAAATTGGGTTTGCTTTTTGTCAGCTGCTGCTTCTTCATTCTTTCTAGGTATCAACACTTCTCCAGATGCATGATACGCAGATGTTTTCTACAATTCTTGTTCTTTTTTTTTTCTTTGGAGGTGTTGGGATTCATTGATCCTGGAAGTTCTATTGTATGAGTGGGACAAAATAACATGATTTCTGAAGTAAACATTATCATTCAGCACATCCTGTGTTGCTTACCTACACTGTCAAGCACTGTGACTCAGTTTAAATGCATAGTTTGGTGAGATCCTATCCAAATCTTTACCACCTTCTACCAGCTAAACTACAACTTTGTCAATAGGTATTTCTCAGGATAGGTGTTGACAGAAAGACTAATATTAGCTCTCCTCTGCACATGAGGTCGTAGGGCTTCATCATTCCATGTATTAGTCATTCACCCTGAGAAGATCTTAGGGGTGACCTGAGAGCATACCTTACTTTCTTGATTAAAATTTAGAAGGGTATTTTTTTTTCTCTGCTGATGCTTTCCTGATAGTTCATTATTATATTGGAATGCCCATTTGGGGAAGTGAGTGCAGACAGAGTACAAGTTTAACAACCAAATCAGACACTGAATATTTGGAGATCACAGAATCATGTAGAGTCATCTATTCTCACATGTAGAGAATAGAACTCTCATGCTGTCAATCTCTCCTGGTATACCCTATACTTTTGTGGGACATTTTAGACTTCAGTGGCCTTTGAGGATGTGGCTGTGAACTTCACCCAGGAAGAGTGGGCTTTGCTGGAACTTTCCCAGAAGAATCTCTACAGAGATGTGATGCGGGAAGTCCTTAGAAACCTGGCTTCTATAGGTAAGGATGACGTTTCATTACATAATCAAAGACAGAGCACCTGGAAGTTTGGTTTTTTTTCCCCCTCATGAATTTGGAGTGTGAGAAAGGGAGTACTTTAAGGAATAATTTGGGCCTAATGTCATTGCACTCTGCAACATAAATACCATAATCCTGTTTCCTCCCCGCCTTTACCATCTTTTTAATGGGAGCAGTATAGTTGTCCAAATTGTAAATCCCATAATGCATTCTGAAATCATGATGATGCATAATGACTTTTCTGGGACTACATTTCAGGAGACACATGGGAGGACCAGAACATGGAATATCAGAACACAAATACGAAGAGAGATGTAAGGTAATTTGTACTCATATGAGGAAACCGAGTGCCTTGAGGGAATTCTAGCACATCCTATAGTTCCACAAATAAGCAACAGAAACAAGCATGAGATGAATTATACTTATTCTTTTTTTCACCAAATATGGACTTTAACGTAACATAGTTAAAGTTTACTGTTTTCAAAAACTATTGAATTTTTGACAGTGTTAACAAGCTTCATTTATGATAGCACTGCTTTAGTAGTAGCTGTGGAGAAGCAGTTTACAAAGTAATTGTTACATTGATTTTCGAAGAGCATACAGTATAGATATGACAAAAAAACAGTACTTTCCATGATATTGGTAATAGTGTAAGTCCAAAGCCTATTAATAAATGTAAAAGTATTAATGATCCAACCATAAATCGTACTTGTAATTATTATTATTATGTTTTTACAGAAGTCATATGGTAGTCTCTGGAAAAATTTGAAAAGGTACTCAGTGTGGAAAAACCTCAGAAAGATTCCACACCTTAGACTTAAAAAAACATTCCTGCTAGTCAGTTCATGTGAAAACAATATGTGTGGACAGGTCTTCACATGTCACATTTCCTTAATAGGCCCATCATATCTTACTCTGCAAACAAACCATATGAGAAGGAGGAGTGTGGCGGAAAGGTATATGAATGTAAAGAGAAGAGAAAATCCTCCATTTCTCTCACAAGTGTTCAATGCCAGGTGTCAGAGCACACTGTAAATGGACCTAGTGGAGGTCTGACATGTGGAAGAGAGTTCAGTTGTTCCAGGTGTTTTCAAAAATATCAACCATCTCATACTGGAGAGCAGCCACCTGGATATAAGCAATGTGGAGGCGCCATTACTATTTCAAATAAACTTCAAAGGCATGAACAAACTCCTCCTGGAGAGACGACTTACAGATGTAAACAGTGTGGGAAAACCTTCACTCATTCATATTCTCTTCAAAAACACAAACGAACTCATACAAGTAAGAAGCGCCATGAATGTAAAGAATGTGGTAAAGCCTTCATTAAATTCTCCTACCTTCGAATACATAAACGAACTCATACTGGAGAGAAGCCCTATGAATGTAAACAGTGTGGTAAAGCCTTTTCTTCATCCAGTAAACTTCGTAAGCATGAAAGAATTCACACTGGGGAAAAGTGCTATGAATGTAAAGAATGTGGTAAAGTCTGCACATGTTACTCTGAACTTCAAATACATGAACGAACTCACACAGGAGAAAAGCCCTATGAATGTAAGCAGTGTGGCAAGGCTTATGCTCGGATTTCTCACCTTCACTCACATGAGAAAACTCATACTGGAGAGAAGCCCTATGAATGTAAACAGTGTGGGAAAGCCTTTGCTACATCTGGTAACCTTCAAATACATGGAAGAACTCATACTGGAGAGAAGCCTTATGAATGTAAACAATGTGGGAAAGCCTTTATTTCTTCCACTGGCCTTCAAATACATGAACGAATTCATACAGGAGAGAAGCCCTATGAATGTAAGCAGTGTGGCAAAGCCTTCATTCGATCCTCTGCCCTTCGCTCACATGAAAGAACTCATACTGGAGAGAAGCCCCATGAATGTCAACAATGTGGTAAAGCCTTCACTCGGTTATCTTATCTTCATGCACATGAACGAACTCATACTGGAGAAAAGCCCTATGAATGTAAGCAGTGTGGCAAAACCTTCACTCATTTCTCTACCTTTTACTCACATGAAAGAGCTCATAATGGAGAGAAGCCCTATGAATGTGAGCAGTGTGGCAAAGCCTTCATTCATTCCTCTAGCCTTCATTCACATGAACGAACTCATACGAAGCCCTATGAATGTCAACAATGTGGTAAAGCCTTCACTCGGTTATCTTACCTTCACTCACATGAACGAATTCATACTGGAGAGAAGCCCTATGAATGTAAGCAATGTGGCAAAGCCTTCAGACATTCCTCTAGCTTTCGCTTACATGAAAGAGCTCATAATGGAGAGAAGGCTTATGAATGTAAGCAGTGTGGCAAAGGCTTCATTTATTCCTCTAGCCTTCACTCACATGAAAGAATTCATAATGGAGAGAAGCCCTATGAATGTAAGCAGTGTGGCAAAGCCTTCAATTATTCCTCTAGCCTTCGCTCACATGAACGAATTCATACTGGAGAGAGGCCCTATGAATGTCAACAGTGTGGTAAAGCCTTTACTCGGTCATCTTACCTTCACTCACATGAACGAACTCATGCTGGAGAGAAGCCCTATGAATGAAACAATGTGGTAAAGTCTTCACTTGTTCCTCTGAACTTCAGGTTCATGAAGAAACTCATATTGCAGAGAAGCCATATGAATGTAAACAGTGTGGCAAAGCCCTCACTCAGGCCTCTAGCCTTCACTCACATGAACTAACTCATACTGGAGAGAAGCCCTATGAATGTCAACAATGTGGCAAAGCCTTCACTCATTTCTCTACTCTTTGCTCACATGAACAAACTCATAATGAAGAGAAGCCCTGTAAATGCAAAGAATGTGGAAAAGCCTTCACTGTATTAGCTTACCTTCGAAAACATAAAACAAATTCATACTAGGGAGAAGCCCTATGAATGTAAGCAATGTGACAAAGCCTTCAATCAGTCCTCTAGTCTTCACTCACATGAAAGAACTTATACTGGGGAGAAGCCCTATGAATGCAAAAAATGTGGAAAAGCCTTCACTCCCTTCTCTTACCTTCAAACACATAATCAAACTAATACTGAGTAGAACCTTGTGGATGTACAAAATGTTTTAAAGCCTTCACTAGTTTGTTTAACCTTTGAATACACACATAAATTCATACTGGAGAGATGCCCTATGGATGCAAAGAATGTGGGAAAACCTTCACTGTATTCTCTTTCTTGCAAATATATAAAGGAATTCATACTGGAAAGAAGCCCTATAAGTGTAAGCAGTGTGGCAAATTCTTCACACAGTCCTCTAGCCTTTACTCACATGAACAAACCCATATGGGAGGGAAGCCCTACGACTAAGCAGTGAGTCAAAGCCATCACTCAGTCCATTCTATTTCATACACATGAAGGAATTCATGGTAGAGAGAAGCCCTATAAATGTAAACAATGTTGAAAAGTCTTCACTACTTTGTCTAGCCTTAAAAGGCTTAATCAAAATCATTCTGGAGAAAATTATTAGTGTGAACACTGTGGGAAAGCTTTTCCTTGATTACTTTTGCTCACATGAACAAAATCATATAGGAAAGAAGCCTTATGAATGTAAACAATGTGGAAAGCCTTTGCTTCAACTGGTGAACTTCACTCCCAAGAAAATACTCATACTGGAAAGAATGTTACCTGGGTATGTAAACATTGAGGTAAAACCTTTAGTCCTTCCACTTGTCTTCATGTGCATGAACAGGCTCATGCTAGAGAGCAGCTCTATGAATGTAAACAAGGTGTTAAACCTTCATGGTGGGGTTGTAGCTCAGTGGTAGAGCCTTTGCTTAGCATGTGTGAGGCACTGGGTTTGATTCTCAGCACTACATATAGATAAATAAATAAATAAAAGAAAGGTTCATCAATATCCAAAAAATTGAAAAAAAATTATTATTTTTTTCTTTTTCTCTTTTCCTACAAATTCATGAACAATCTCAGTGGAGAAAGGCCCTGTGAGATTAAATGGTCTGGTAAAGCCTTCAGTATTTTGGCTTATCTTCAAATACTTTAAAAATGTAAATAGTCTGGTGAAGATTTGACTAGTTATGCTTATCTTCATATACATGAAGGAACTTATACTGGAGAGAGGCCTCCTGAAAGTAAATAATGTGGTACAACCTTTGCTTATTCCAATTCAATTTGAAAACTCATACCAAAAAAAGACTGTATGAAAACAATGTGAAAAAGCTTTCAGGACTTCCATTCTCCTTCAATTGCATAGCACACTCATATCACAGAGAAAAAAACTGATTGTGTATTGTGTAATTTTTTTTTCTTTTTAGTTGTAGTTGGACAGAATATCTTTATTTTACTTATTTATTTTTATGCGATGCTGAGGATCTAACCTAGTTTCTCACCTGTGGTAGGCAAACACTCTACCCCTGAGCCACAATCCCTAACCTCTCTTATTAGCTTCAAATCACAAACAAATTCATACTGGATAGAAGCCTTATGAATGTCAACAATGTGCAAAAGCTTTCAATTGATCTTCCTACCTTCAAATACAAGAACAAACATATTGTTGAGAAGTTCTTTGTGCATAAACAATGTAGTAAGTCATTTGTTGCAGTGACATTTAAAAACATAAAATAACTTTACTGAAACAAAGCTGTATTAATATAAACAATGAGAACAAAGCTATATTAATGTAAACACTTTCCTTTGGTGCAGTTCCCCTAATAAGCATTAAAAAAATGATAACTAGAAATGCTATTTCAGGGACTGGGGCTATAGCTCAGTGGTAAAGCGCTTGCCTTGCATGTGTGAGGCACTGGGTTCAATCCTCAGCACCACATAAAAAGATAAAAAGATACTATGTTTTCATCTACAACTCAATAAATATAAAAGAAAAAGAAATGCTATTTCAATGCAAAAGTTCTGGGAAATAATTGTTTTCCTGTTCATTTTCAAATATGAAAGGATTCACACTACAAAAACTGATAAATCATTAAAGAAGTGATAAATCATTTTTCCCTGTTGCTTTCAAAGCCATTTCACTCATAGTGGAAGAGAAACTCTCTAAATGTGTGATATTTACTTCTTATACATGAAAGGTAATGGAAAAAAGTAATGTGTGAAAGAGTCTAATATTTACAGTTCCTTTGAAGAACAGAAAAAAAAATTGTATAGGTTGAGAAACTCTGAACCAGAAATCTGATAGAGCCTTTACAAGTTTAAGTTTGATTTATGTGTCACATTTCCATTGTACTGATAGAAATATTGGAAAATTCGACCTATGGGAGGGAAGATTTATTTTGGCTCATGGTCATATAACTTTTTCAGTGTATCACAGACTGACCACCTTGCTTTAGGCCTGAGGTGAAGCAAAACATGGAGTGATGTAGAAAAGAGAGACTATTTACCTCATGGTGGCTGGGAAGGAGGGAGAGAGAGGGAGACAGAGAATGAATTAAGTACATCATTACTTGCCTAACAAGTTTTGTTTTGCAGACTGTAGATGTGGCCTTTCTATTTTAGTGTTTCTGCTTCCCTTGATATTCTAGTGTGCATTTGTGATGTGGTTCGCATCTTGATGCCTCATGGTCCAGGTCCAGGTACAAAAAGAAGAGGAAACCATGATGCTAGCTTCTAATAAAGCATGGGAGAGGCTATCTCAAGTATTCAAGTATTCTCAAGTAGTCAGTGTGTGGGCTGTTCTTAGCACACTAATAACATTCCAAAAGTCATATAAGAAGGTTTGATGGTCATAGTGACAAAATCACTATGCATTTTGTACTAACCCTAATAAGAATGAATCACATTTCCTGAAGATTGAGGTGGTGACTTCCATTGTAGGTTATTGGGCAGCTAAAATCTTTTAGTACCACACAAAACATGAGCACTACTGGGGTCAGAGGAATATATTACCTGTGTAAAGTTCAAGTTTGCATGAGTACCCCAAATTTTTCAGAGGAAATTTCTGTAGAGAGGAGTAGTTTTGTGTAGTGGGCAGTTCTAGAAACCTACTAACAAATGACATTGGTCATCAAGACCCTTCAATGCTTCTTGCTATGCCATTATCCCAACAATTATGCTGATCTCCTGGTATCAAGGTGCAGGATGGTTCTTTAGTTGGCCTTGAACCAGCTCAATTCTTCCCCATCCCTGTTGCTTGTAAGTGTCAAGAATAAAAGTGAAGTGTGGACATAGAAGGATAAAGAGCAATCCCGTGCACCACTGGCCAAACTTTCTGTGTCATGGAGAATGTGAAGTGGCAGAAAGCAAAAGAGGCAACAGACATGGTGAACTCAGCAGTCTCTCCTTTTGTTAAAATATTTTTGTTGTTGTTGTTTTTGATGGACCATTATTTTTTCTTAAATTTGCTTATTTATATATAGCACTGGGAATCAAATGCAATGCCTCACACGTACGAGCCAAGTGCTGTACCTCTGAGTACTTACTTCTATGCCTGGACTCCACATGGGTATTTAAAATATTGCCTTCAATAAGATACTGATTCATTTTTTTATACTATCTTGTTCCCAAAAAGAAGTTTGTAGTGTAGCAGAAATAGAATAAGAAAGAGGTCACCAGTGTTAGTGTTAAACCATGATGCAAAGAAAACACCACTCACTCCAATTTAAATCAAATTAAAGCAAGCTTGTAATTCTGACCAGCCGGGACTGTCCCTCTCCTGAAATATGTGGGAATAGAAGACAGTACTCTAACTATCTAGGAGCTCAGTTTTATAGCACAAAAAGTTGCAAAAAGGGGGGTGTCTTGAGAACTTACAGATAACAGGATTTTGACATGCATAATACAAAGGCAAGTAGTAGGTTTAATGGTTCAGCACTTAGGGAGTAAATATAAATCCCAACATCAGAATTTATGAGGCACTATTAGAGTTTCAGAGAGGATTGTTATCTTGTCAAGGAAAGCCAGAATTTATGAGGTACCACTGAGATTTCAGAGAGGGTTGTTCTGGTCAGGGCAAGCCAGGCATGGGTGAGTTCAAGGTACAGGTAGGAATTCCAAAGCAGATGATAAATCTCAGGAATTTATAGTAAAACAGAAATTAACTTTTCATGACTTTGTGACAAGATGGCTCCCAATCTTAAGATGGAATTAAGCTGGGTTCATCAGTTAGCAGAGCACACTGTCACCAGGGGTTTGAGAAGGGGGGCTCTGGTGGAATAGGGAAAGTAGCAAATGATTAGCTATTACTTTTATTAATTTGGAAAGGGAATTTGGAACTTTTTAGAAACTCCAACCAGAGACATACTCTTAACTCAGTTTTGTTCTGTATTGTACTAGGGTTCAGGATCTCTTTTTCTTAGGGGAGCAGTCCAGTTGAGAAGTGCATCCTTCAGAAATCTAGCATTACAGTGGAGGGTTTATCTTACAATGCTCTGGTGATTTCTCAAAACAGGATTTTTTAAGTTGGAACCTACAATTTTGGTATAAATATGTATGAGGGTGCTCTCTTAGTCCCTATAGCCATCTCAGTCATAATTATATATGTATGCTAAAAGCAAGAAGATTTGTGTGGGGGGGAGTAGTCTCCTCACCTTTGTCAATAGTTTTTTAGAGACATGACATTTCATTTATTTAGTGTTTTATTAAAACAAAAAAAATGCACCTCGTTGATTTTGAGGCATTTGTTTTCTCTTTTATGTTCTCCAATTTATTCTACAGGTTTAGAAACTTTTTTAGATTCAAACATCTCCAATCTTATCACTATAATTATATTTGATCTTTAGAAGGAACAATTCCTTTATCTGGAAATGCACAGGTTCCACAGTGGAGATGTTTTAGAATTCTTGCATTCATATAGATGTATGTGTTTGTATACATATATGCATATGTATATGTATTTGTATATGTTGAGATTTGTGTGTATATGTATACAAATATCAACCTGCTTTTGTTTACAGTCCAGTTTCTCTCAGTCCCAGTCTGACTGACATTGAGCTCAAATTTATACTGGGCATAATCTGAACTTTAAAATATTCATGTAAATAAAGAACTCACAAAAAGATTTGTAGCTAAGATCTGAGAGACACCTTTGGGACTTACCAATATGTAATGATAAATCAGTGAGTTTAGGGACTCCCCATGTTTCCCAAACACTGGTTATTTGAAATAATAGCAATTCACAGATAGAGGAAATCTGCTATTGATTCAGGGGTCTAGCAAGGGCTTATACAAAGAACACTTAAAAAGAGTGTCCAGAAGAAAGGCAAATTAAGAGTATAATTGTATAGGGAGTCCTTGGTGGTTTATTGGGGTTTGGAATTAAGTTAACCTGGTTTGAAATTTGGTTTTCTAATATAGAATCAAGATCACAGTCCTGTAGACACAAAAGCTGGTAATCTCCACAGAATGTCATGTGACCTGTCCTCACAGCCTCCCCTGGATATGGAAGCATCCTTTCCCATTACCATACTGAAAGAATCCAGGGTTAACTTAAAACATGAGCTGACTTTGGAACCTAAAAGAGGGCCTCATGTCACTACGGAAGTGTAGGATTCCACAAGGATGGTGGGTGGGGAAGCAATGACAGAATGACAGACATGCCACATCTTCTTTTCTTGAGAAGGTTGAGTTCTGTGGGCTGCTCCTGTGGAAAAGGGGGAGAGGCAGACCCTGTGGACATCTCAGGATACTGATATGGGCAACTGAAATACTTGTTTTCCCATGTTT